TTTGGTCATGCAATTTGCGTTGTGGGATCTTACCAATAGTTCCCCGACCAGGGATCGCACCCATGCCCCCTGCAGTGGAAGAGTGGAGTCCTAACCACTCAATTCCCTATATGAGTTCTTTGTATATTTTGGATATTAATCCCTTATCAGATATAGTATTTGCAATATCTTCTTTAATTCGGTAGGCAGCCTTTTTGTTTTGTTGATAGTTTCCTTTGCCGTGCAAAAGTCTTTTAGTTTGACGTAGTTCAGTTTATTTATTTTTACTTTTGTTTCCCTTGTCTGAGGAGACAGATCCAAAAAAATATTGCTAAAACTGATGTCAAAGAGCATACTGCTTATGTTTTCTTCTAGAAGTCTTATGGTTTCAGGTCTTACATTTAAGTCTTTAATCTATTTTGAGTTTATTTATTTATTTATTTATTTTTTGTGGTACGCAGGCCTCTCACTGTTGTGGCCTCTCCCGTTGCGGAGCACAGGCTCTGGATGCGCAGGCTCAGTGGCCATGGCTCATGGGCCTAGCTGCTCCGCGGCATGTGGGATCTTCCCGGACTGGGGCACAAACCCGTGTCCCCTGCATCTCAACCACTGCACCACCAGGGAAGCCCTGAGTTTATTTTTGTATATGGTATGAGAAAGTAGTCCAGTTTGATTCTTTTCCATGTAGCTTTCCAGTTTTCCCAACACCATTTATTGAAGACACTGTTTTTTCCTTATTGTGTATTCTTGCCTCCTTTGTCATAGGTTAAGTGACCCTATATGTGTGGGTTTATTTTCAGTGTCCCTATTCTGTTCTATCAATCTGTATGTCTGTTTTTGTGCCAGTACCATACAGTTTTGATTTTGTAGCTTTGTAGTATAGTGTGAAATTAGGGAGCATAATACTTCCAGTTATTTCTTTCCTTCTTAAATTATTTTGGTTACTTGGGGTCTTCTGTGACAGCAAATAATTTAATAGATATGTATAGATATATGTATACACACAAGAATAAGAATATATTAGATAGATATTAATAGAATGTATTCTTCTCTTACACTTATTAAACAATTTCCAAATCTATTATGTTCTTGGTCACAAAGGAAACTTTCATAGATTTCAAAAAGGGGTGATTTTACAGGATACATTTTTATCCCAAGTATAGAATTACAATCTGGAAGAGAAATATAAAAACTTAAGAAATAAATATATGCCATTTCAAATAACTCCATATCCAAAGGAAAACAAAACTGATATTACAAGTCATCAAATAATAAGCAAAAGATATTATTTCATACACAAACCCCAATATACAGCCAAATCTCTATACAGAGGAAAATTGTTAACTTTAAATATTCTTATAATTAAAGCAGAAAGGTAAAAACTTAGTAAACTAAATATTCAACTTATAAAATTAGGAAAATAGAAAAAAAAGAGTAGGCAGTGAATCAATAAAAAGAAAAACCAAGATTAATTTAATACAAAAGATAAAGTGTGTGTCTGTGTGCCTCTGTGTGTGCATATATGAATACAATTTATATATAATTTGAATATATATAATTTGAATACATTTATATGTAATTTGACTATATATAGTTTGAACAGACAAATGAAATAGATGAAATCCCTGACCAGTTGATATCTTACTTAGAAAACTTTCAGTTATACCTAGATCAATTTCTGTTATGAATTCAGATGGGAAGTCTAAATAATATATTAGCAAACTGTATCCAGCAATGAATTAAAGGTAATACACCAAATTAGAGCAGAATTTTTTCTATCAAAGTAGTTGATTACATGAACTTATTGATGGTGAAAAACTGTAAGATTGTGTCCATAAATACCAAGAAGATATTTGATATAATTCATCAGACATTCCTAGTTAAAATAAACATGGATTAAAATATAAGTAGAAGGAAACTGAGTAAATATTATAAAAAACAATTATCAAAAGAAAACTGTATCCTAATGAACCATGAAATACTGAAGGACTAAAATCAGAAGAAAGATAGGCATACCTGTCATCACCATATTATTAAACATTGTTTTAGAAGCTGTAGTTATTACAAAAAAATAAGAAAATGAAATATCTCATATATATGTAACATATATGAAATATAAAAATTATCTTTATTTGTGTTTGATGTAATTGTATGCCTAGAAATCTCAACAAACTCCAATAAAATCTATTAGAATTAGTATTATAGTTTATTAAGTTTCTGGATTAAAAAAATGCAAAAATTAGTAGCTTTTATTTATATCAACTATAATGGATCAGAAGTTAAAATGTAAAAAACATATCTCACTCACAATGGTGATAAAAATCTCTAAAATGTTTAGGAATAAATTTATCTGAAAGACACCAACAAATATTAAAGTAATGGAGAGACCTATGATGCCCTGAGTAGGATGACCTAACAATAAGAAGTGATAATTCCTAAACTAATAAATACATTTAGTGCTATTTCAATGAAAAGCCTATTTAATATTTTTGACACTAGGGAAAATGATCTTAAAATGAATTGGAATAATACATGTCTGAGAAGAGCCAAGAAAATTTTGAAAAAGGAGACTTTGTGTAGAAAAGTCTTGCCTTTCTGAATATTGAAATTTATGTTAAAAACTACAGTGATAAAAGCTGTATATTGGCATGGGAACTGATAAATACATCCATGGATATGTTTATATATTTATATATAGACTAGTGTGTTAACAGATCCAAATGCATACATAGAACTTTATAAACGACAAAAATAACATCTCAATTCGAGGGAAAAATAATGGTACGGGCATAATTTGTCATCTATCTGGAAGAAAACAGAGCCCTACTTTATAGCATATACAAAATTCCAGGTGGATTAAGTCTCTAGATGTTAATAATTAATACAAAATAATAGAAATACATTTCAGAGAATAAAACTGAGATAAATTTGTGTACATAAAGGGCGACAAAACAAAACAAAAAAACCCAGCAAAATTTGTAAAAAGTTATAGACTGGAGAAAAAACCTTGTAACCTGACAAAGGGCTAATATTTCTATTGTATAAAGAACCTCTAAAAATTGATAATAAAACATAAACAACTCGTAAAAATGGGCAAAACATATGAAGGCATTTATCTGAATAGCAAATGTAAGTGGCTAAAACTCATGAAAAATATGCCTTTCCTTTCCAGTAATGAGGAAAATGTAAACTAAAACAAAAATGAGGGCTTCCCTGGTGGCGCAGTGGTTGAGAGTCCGCCTGCTGATGCAGGGGACGTGGGTTCGTGCCCAAGTCCGGGAAGATTCCCACATGCCGCGGAGCGGCTGGGCCGGTGAGCCATGGCTGCTGAGCCTGCGCGTCCGGAGCCTGTGCTCCGCAGCCGGAGAGGCCACAACAGTGAGAGGCCCGCGTACTGCAAACAAAACAAAACAAACAAACAAAAAACAAAAATGAAATTCCATTTTCTCCCAACAGGTTGGCAAAGATTAAAAAGAGCAATCATCTTCATTGCTCATGGAGATAAAGGAAAAGGGGCCAGGCACATATTACCATGGGAATGTAAATTGCTACAATTTCTTTTTTTAGAAAGAAATCTAATCCTCCCCACCATTTTATTCATTTTAATATAGCATTGTTTGTACAGGCACAAACGTGTGAACTTTCTGAAAACCCATCAACTGGGAAATATTTGAATAAGTTGTTATATATTTAATATTAAGCAGATGTTAATAACAGTTAGTTACAACCATATGAATTAATCTGGACAAATGTACATGATGTACTAAGCTAAAAAATCAAACTGTGTATAGTATGTTCCCATATCTGTTTAAAAAAACACAAAAATGAAACAAAAATAGCCTCTATGTATGTATTAAGGTAGAGTTAGGTACATATAAAATTTTTAATATTGAGTATCATAGAAGCTTGGAACTGGAAATTGTGTATATGGCTTAATTTTTTCCCACGAGCTTGAAGTGCCTTTGTAATAAAAATCACTGAATCCTACCCCCACCCCAGTTTTACTGATATAATTGAAATATAACATTGTATGAGTTTAAGGGTTACAACATAATGATTTAATATGTGTAGGTGGTGTGAAATGATCTCCACAATAAGTTAACATCCATCACCTCACATAGTTACAATTTTTTTCCTTCTGATGAGAAAAATAACCTAATATTTTAAGAGACTGGGAACCACTGGTTAAGTCAAGAGAACATAAAGTAGAAAGTGTATCCTAGCCCTGCCCCTAACTTGAAATGTGACATATTTTGCCTTTATTTTCTTGCCTCTAAGGTGTGGGTGGTGGTGACTGACCTATGGAATTAGGTTACAGTGTCGTAGTGAAGATAAAATGAAGGATGAAGACAAACATAATTTAGATAGTTAAATTGTATTGAAATGCAAGCTATTTATCCTCAAGAAAATTCTCAGACATTCTCAATTTCTATGATGCAGGTGACAAAATCGCCCGAGGAAGCATCTTCCCTTCCCAATGGTGATGTGGCAGGAGAAGCACAGAGCAACACAGAGGTAAGAGCTGGTATCTTGAACCATCTCCTGCAGACCCATTTACTCAGAATGTCTACTAGGTTCTAATCTTTTCATATCTGTTTGTCTATCTGTCTACCTCATCTTTCTATCTGTCTATCTATCTATCATCTATCTTTCTTTTTTAATCTCTAAAATTATAAAGCTTCTTTCCACGCAAGCAATAGAAAATAAATATTCCCTAAATATAGAATCTTTTGGAGTTCTCTTCACAAGCCTTAAATGGGTGAATTAACTCCTATTAGGGTCTTTATTACTCTACCATGCACATGAGTTGGGTCTATGGACTTACACTGACAGATCCAATCGGCAATGTCGAGGGTTGGTGATCCCATACTCTAGGGGTTAAGTGACTAATACACAGACGTCCACGTTTGCTTTGTTTATGTATTGTGTATCTAAATAAGGAAACCACAGCACGTGTGGTCTGGTGTTGCCTTAGAAGCTTATCCAAGGTTAGTGATACCGTGAGTTTCCTTTATGACCAGGGAACAGAGAAGGCTGAAGAAAGTGGACAACACGAGGCACAAAAAGAGGGCAGTGAAGATGCGGGCGACCTCACCGGATCCCCAGGGAAGAATGTGAGTGTTTGCTGTTTTCAGTGTAGTTTCACTGGATTCAGTTCTGTTCAACAAGCATTTATTTAGCTCTGCAAGGTGCCAGGAATCTTTCTGGGCACACGAGAGTGGGCGTGAAAGTAAGGAACTGAGGGTTTAGCCAGGAGGCAGCGGGTAATTTTCACTTAATGTGTTAACTGCTGTGTTCAAGGTGGGTAGAGGGATGAAAGGAAGCCAGAGGAAGGACCCTGAACCCAGGCCTGGAGTGACAGGCTACGTAAGGCTTTAATGATTTGTCATTGTGTTGTTACGGTTAGGTTGGGTTCATGTTCTTTCTAAATCAAGGGACCTTATGCCTTGGTCATGCGTAGTGATGGACTCCTATCACACTTGTCGACTTAAAAAAAATGTACAACGTGAACGTTGTGAGTTAAGTTTTATTTGGGGCAGAATGAGGACTATAGCCCGGGAGATAGCATCTCAGATAGCTCTGAGAAACTGCTCCGAAGAGGTAGGGGGAAACGTCAGTACATATGTGATTTTGTTAAAGGGGAGTCCATGCAATCAAGAGCATATTTTTTGCAGGAGGTTCTGCTCGTCTCGTGAAGGTTACTTCTAGTCACGAGGAGCACACGTCACCATGAAGGATTTTAGTGCTTTTCTAGATACGAGGAGATGCAAGAATTGGGCTCATAAAATCTTCTCCTGAAAGCATCTAACTATCTGAAGACCTGTTCTGCGAGTTTTTCCCAGAGCACAGAGTGCCTCACTCCTGATCTCCACCCCGAACTCCTTTCAAGGGGTGTTGAAGGTCAGCAACTGCAACAGCTCATGATTTAATCCTTGTAGAGGCAGATGGCAAGTGCCAGTTTCTAGTTGGCATATTCCACCAAGAAGATTTGTGGGAAGCCAATGGGAGCTGAGGATAATAGGGTCCCTGGGGGAGGGAAACTGACACCAGTTCAAAGCCAATCAGGGGACTCTCAGGGCCCCGCTGATGCAAGGCCTGTGAGCTAATTCTAAAGCGTTCCAATGCAGGGGCCGCAGGGTAAAGGGCCAAGGGGAGACTGTGGTTCTGGAAGCACCAAGCTAAGATAATGGTGGATCAGATGGGCCACTTATTCAAGGAATTCTGAAAATGTGGCTGGGAAGCCAGGCAAAGGGGAAACCCTGGAGCCACCGAGGGAGCCTGAATGGGCTGAGCCTCCTCTTGGGAGAATTTCAGTGGGCTTCTGCGTTGGGCCAATTGTAGCGAAGACTACCAAACCCCGATGGTTTGCATTTGTACCTATTTATTGATTCCAGGACAGATGTGGACAGCTATTAAGATCACTGGATTCTTGTTCCCAGCAGATGGAATGTGACTAGGAAAGGGGCCAAGACTGACAACCATGTTTGGAAAATGGGAGTGGCATCAGTTTGTCTTTATCATAAGGAATTTAAATTTGGGAGGAACCAAGGCAGTAAATTCCCTTATGTTTGAATACTGCTATTTCAAACTGTTGATGATTTAAGACCCTTTGACGTTTCTGTTTTGAAGAAAGATGAAATCTTCTGTCTTGATCAAGAAGTTAGGTGGGGTTTCATGGCAGCCTGTATAATTCAGAAACAATCAATTTAAGGTGAAATAGAGTGACAATTTAATTATCCTGTAATTTATAAAAATCTTTAAAAACATTTTATAATTTGAACTTTCCATGAATTGCCTAATGCACTGGTACAGCATTATTGATTTACATGTTGAAATTCAGTTCGCTCCTTTTAAGACAGAGAGCCAAAGGTAAAAACATTACACCCCAATCCCTTTCTCCCATGAGACCAAGAGGAAGACAGCATTTTTAAAATCAGACCCTGACTTATACAGCAAGGGCAGGGTTGGCTTCAGCTTCTCAGCCTCTGGGCTGGTTAGTTCAATGAAGTGATAAGCCATCCAGCTTGGGGATTCTCTTTGCTAGTATTTTTAAAAACTGTGAGCCCTTTACAAAGTAAATTATAGTCTTGTGAATCCTAATAGGAATTAAAAACATCGCTGTGTTATTTTTGCTTGGGCTGCAATGATGAAATGACTACATAGAAGACATTTTTATTTTAGATGAATATAGTATTAACATTAATGATCAACTCTTAAATAATATTCATTCTACATAAAGAGAGATTTTGACTTTTTCCCATTTGACAAGTGGTACGTGCTCTTTGACTTGCTGTAATTCAGTTAAATAAGGAAAAAACTATGATTGGTCAGCGAACATTAAAAATGACATAACATGATTAGCTTTGGGACCGAATATATAGGAAACTCGATTGACATTTAAGAAAGAGACAAAAACTATCTGATATTTGGCATGCTTGCATTTTGTGCTTCAAGAACCTTCTGTCTGTTTTTCTGGTTTTTGGATTGTTTTTCAAGGTAAAGATGGGAAGGCCGTCTTGGCTATTTGACATCACATCTTTCCTGGCTGTGCACCCAGGCTCACATGGGCTTATTTGTGATGATCTGAAAGGCCAATTAGATCATGTGTTTTACCTCTTTAACATGATTTTTTATTTTATTTTATTTTTAAAATTTTATTGAATTATAGTTGATTCACAATGTTGTGTTTAATTTCTGCCATATAGCACAGTGATTCAGTTATACATATTATATATATATATCCTTTTTCATATTCTTTTCCATTATGGTTTATCACAGGATATTGAACATAGTTTCCTGTGCTGTACAGTAGGACCTTCTTGTTCATCCATTCTCTATATAATAGTTGGCATCTGCTAACCCCACATTCCCAATCCTTCCCTCCTCCACCACCGCTTCCCTTTGGCAACCACAAGTCTGTTCTCTATACTTGTGAGTCTGTTTTTGATTGTAGATAAGTTCGTTTGTGTTTTATTTTAAATTCCACGTATAAGTGATATCATGTGGTATTTGTCTTTCTCTTTCTGACTTACTTCCCTTAGTATGATAGTCCCTAGGTCCATCCATGTTGCTGCAAATGGCATTATTTCATTCTTCTTTATGGCCGAGTAGTATTCCATTGTATATATGTACCACGTTGTCTTTATCCATTCATCTGTTGATGGACATTTAGGTTGTTTCCATGTGTTGGCTATTGTACTAGGTTGGCCAAAAGGTTCGTTTGGGTTTTTCCCTAAGATGTTCTGGGAAAAAGCCAGACGAACTTTCTGGCCAACCCAATAAATTGTTAATACGAATTTTTAAAGTACCAGTCAAATCCAGTAAATTCTTCTCAGATAAATCCAAGGCTTTCAGATAAGATCTCTGGCTCTGTTGAAACCATCTTGGGGAAATCTCATGGATTTGTACCTTTTGCTCCTCCAGCCCATTGTATCTAAACAGCAGCTCCCTGTGCTTCCTTCTCTAACCAACATTCCATGAGGGATATAAATAACATAATCTTTGCGGGTCCAGATTTGGTTCATAACACTTCTGGCCGTGGACCGTCAGCTTCACTAATTCCTCTAGACACCATAATATCTGCTTTATGCCCCCACCTCCTGGCTGGCAGGAGATTCAATCTGGGTGAAGCGTTTTGGAGACTCACTCCTTCTTGGGGACTTAGAGTCATCATGGGGTCTTCAGTGGTGACTGGAGGGGAGAGGGCCCTGGCTCTTTGTGGTGGTGACTTTCTGAAATGGGTCTCCTGCTGCCTATTGGCAGCTGTTCACGCTGGTCCCTCAGCTTGGTTCAGGTCCTCTGCCCTGGCTGGATGTGGCCATGCCTCTTACAGTGACCAGTCGTATGCTTCCTCGTACATCATACCCAGGTGCTACCCAGATGCCCCAGTGGTCCCTGGTTCAGCGTCTACATCAAGCAGGGCCTGGGTAGCACCTCTTGGAACACCCACCTCCTTCTGCCCCCTTCTCTCTTCAATCTGGCTGCTTCATCTCCTCAGCTCCAAGCCCTAAACTCCAAGCTCATTTTTCCAGGGATTATCTAGATTCCTCACCTCTTTCAGCCCAGGATTTTGATAAGCAAGGCTTATAACTTCTTCCCTAGAGGTGGAGAACCAGAACAAGTATGTGGCTGTCTTCTTGGAGTGTGGGGAATGACAGTAGCTCTATTCCCTCCCTCTAATTTTGGGTAGTAGGGAGAACAAAATGAGAATTCTTATTCTGGTATATACAGCCATACTATTCATGACCAGGAGCACAAATGTATTTTAACCTCTTATTCTGAAATGATTACAGACTCACAGGGACATAGTACAGAGTCCTGTGTGCCCTTTGCCGGGCTTCCGCTAATGATGACATCTCAGATGGCTGCAGTAGGAGATGGAAACCAGGAGTATGATGCTGGTGCAGCTCTGTTAAGTAGGCTTGCAGACCTTATTCAGGGTTGGCCATTTTTTTCAAACCTTTCATTTGTACGTTAAAAGTCATTCCTCTGTGTGTTAAGAACCATTTTCAAGTGTGCAGTGGTAACAGCTCCCTCCAGCAGCTGGCGGTGTTAAAACGAGTGACAGACCAGCTAAGTGAGTGTCTGAGTTGTGTTCATCTGATCTCAACTATTGCACATGTTTACTCAGTACACACTTGCAAATGTTCAAAGGATGTCATTTTAATGGGGAAAATATTTACCTAAGAATATCACATTGATTTGAATAAAAGAGATGAGGACAGAAACCGTTATCTCCTTTAGTGAGATGGACTTCCCCTGACCACCAACCCAAGCCTCTGGGGTTCTTACACACAAGATGCCGAGGTGTATATTTCCTACTTGCTGATAGGTTGGGGCAGCGTTTGGGAGGCAAGATGGTGCACACTGAAAAGATCATTCATTCCTGCCTAAGAAGATGTCACCTGTAGTTTCAGTCCCCCTGTAGAGAGGGGACTTCATGGTCCCCTTCCCTGCTGACCCAGAGAGGGATGAGGGGATAAGAAGGAGAGGGGAGGCTTGTGAACAGTACTAGAGGAGTAAAGGAGGAAAGCAGGCCACCTCAGCTTCTGGGCACACTGAGAAGGGGACTACAGACTGGGGGTGTCACGAGAACATTATGAAACCCTGGAAATGGAGAAGACGCAGCTTGTTCATCTTGGTGTTTGGTTTCCATCGAGGTCAAAGTATTTTACGTGGTATTCTCTGCTAACTCAGTGGTCCCCTCCAAAATCTTCTAAGACCTTGGCTTGACTGACTACATGATTATGGTCTATAAATCTTCCCCACTTTGCTTCTTCCAAAATCTATCTTGAGGATAATTGCTCAACCAAGGGGTGGGCATTGGTTTAGGTCCTCCACAAGCTTGTGAGTCTAAGGCTGCGTCCCTGTACTGTCTGCAGATGGAGAGAACCCTGCTCTTGCCCCTGACCTTCAGACGATCTGAGGCTGGCTGCCCTCCTCAGGTCCCTCTGGACTGGCCCCAGCCCTCCTTCCACACCAGCCACTTGTCCTAACCAGCCACTGCCTGACACTCACCGTGGCTGATACCTGTCCTTAGTCCTGGCCATGTGCCACATCAGCAGCCTGCCTCCCTGGCCAAGTTCCCAACAGAAATAGCTGTTGGTGAGGTTCTAAGACTTTGAAGGCTTCCTCTGATTAGCTTTCTTAGAAGAACAACAAGGTAAAATGATTTTAATTTGTAGCTTCGTCAATTGAATGATTCATACCCTATCCTAAGATCCTGCAAAATCTCAGCTTAATTGACCATGTGATTATAATTATCTTAAAAATAACCTTTTGCCAATACAATTATTTGCCAACCATAAAAATCAATTCAAGCATTGTATATAGATGACTTTTAAGGATCTACCTAATTCTGACACTTTATAATTCTGTGAGCTAAGGATGAATGTTTAAGTTTTTATTTAATTAATATATCCCACCTCCTCCTAAGAAAGATTTGAGGCATGAGTGGCATACATAAATACCTTCATTCAACATTTTATTGACAGACTGAACGCTGCCATATGCGGGGCAGTCCAGGGACTAAAAATGAGCTTCTGTTCTGGTGGAGCTGGTGATGGTCATAGCCAAGGCTCTTCAAAGCTTATCTGACCTTTTGAGGCTAAGTATTTCTATAAATTCTCTGAGCAGTTACTTTCTCTATTTAATGTCTCTTTCAAGAAATTAAGGTCAATTCAGATACTGATAAAGCCCTAGGGGCCTCAGTAGTTGCTGCTAGCTAACCTGTAAAAGTTGAGATTAACACTTATTCCTGTAAGAACCCCTACTGCTCTCCAGCCTAGCTCTAAGGATAATCCCATTTTTAATAGTGTGTTTTTTGTTAATTCATTTGTTTCAGCTGTACACAATTAATAAAAATAATTGGATTTAGAAAAGTGTAAAACTCTACATAGCTAACAATTCTGTGTTGCATATAGTGAATTTTAATTTGATCTCATGTGGATAAGAAGAAAATGAATGTTTTTTGAGATCTAAAGAGTTAATAGGAGACTTTATAGGCTCATTTATCTAGTCATTTAACACATTTATTGAGCTTATACCTTGGTTCCAGACAGTGGCTGGGTCCTGGAGATCCAAAAATGAATAAAGACACAAGTTGTGCCCCAAGGAGTACACAGACTAGTTAGGGATACAGATAAATAAATGATGATTATGGTAGCAAATAAGGGAGTCCCCTAACTCAGGCTTATGGGTCAGGAAAGTCTTCCTTGAAAAGATCGTTTTAAGCAGTGTTCTGGAAGGTGTCGCTGATGTGAGAAAGTTGTACGTGACTGTTAGCTGAAATAAAGAATCATGAGGCTAGAGAGGTGAGCAGGGGCCAGATCATGGTGGCCTTTCAACCGTTCTAAGGATTATGGATTTATCTTGAAAAGATGGAAAGTTTTCAACACGAGGGCAGCATGGTAAGGTGGGTTGTCTTTTAGAGTGGAATCTCTGGCTACTGTGTGGAGAACAGGTTGGAGATAAGGAAGATTAGAGGTGATGTAACCCCAGTGAGAGAAGATGGCGGTCCTGGCAAAGGAAGGACAAGGCATGGGCAGAATGAGACAATATTAAAGAGGTGCAATCAACACATCGCTGAGAAACCAACACCCGGATTTTGCAACAAGTGCAGGACTCTCTTTTCCTGGACTTTATTTTAGCTTTAAAACTTTCTATGTTGCCAGAATTGATTTGGAGATTCCCAGTGCTGGGGAACGTCTTGGGCTGACTCAGTCTTGGCTGGCTGGATCAGGTTTTCACATTTTGTATTTTCTTTGCCAGTCTCAGAAATCTGAGAGTGTTCTGGAATTGGCCAAAAACGTGAGGCTGGGCCAGAGAAGGTGGCAGTGTGGTGGGTCCTCCACCACTTGCCTTCCATGAGAATCTTGAGAGGCAGCATGGTAGAGTAGGAAAGAGACTAAATTAGGAACCAGGAATCTTGAAGTGAGTCCTGATCATGTTACTTACTTGTGCTCTGATTCTGGGCAAATTACTTAACTCTATGGTCTTGGTGTCCTCATCTGTCCATAGAAGGGACTGGGTAAGAGGATATAAGCAAATATGAGATTGCTTTCAACTCCCTCAGTCCAAAATTCCATGAGCTCAGGGATTGGAAGGTTCTTACTTCTTTGCAATTTTAGGAGATACCGCCTGGTTCTCCCACTTTGATCTGGGGGAAATAGAAATTCCAGTGGGTTGGTAGAGTGGAGACCTGTTTGAGCCCAGGATGGCCTCACCCTTTCTTACTTTTAAGTTTCTTTCTTTAACCAGAAATCCGTGTTTAAATATTTACATGGTTCAGAAATGTTATCATTTTGTTCTGATGGTGAAAAAGGTTTTGATCTGTTTTTTATTAATTGGTTCAGAACTGAAGTAAAGGCATGCTTATAAGGACATAAAAGCCAAAAAGCCATAATTTTGTTCAAATTTTCTAATTGCTTACGTATATGGTTTGAATTTTCTCTGATAGCTCTATAGGTCTGCAATATGCTTTGGATATAGATACAGGATCAACATATAATTAAGCAGTATTACTAATTAGTTATATTTTATCAGGAGTAAGAGTGATGAAAATATGTCTTTAATTTCATAATATTCCAAGGGCTTGAAATCTAATGCATGTAATACGTAGGCATTGCTCAGTTATCATATCTTTGCTATTGATATGTTTTCTCAATAAATAGATGTATTTCATTTTGATAAACACGCATTTTATTATAGTTTGCTAAATTTTCATTTATTTTTTAAATTAAAAAATTTTTATGTTTTAATTTTTATACAATTTTTAAAGGTTACTTTTCATTTACAGTTATTACAAAATATTGGCTATACAGTTTGCTTAATTTTTAGATTCAACTTAAAAACTTATGTGAATTTATATTTTTCTTTCATTTCTGTTTATGAACTTAAGGAAGAAGAGGGAGAGACAGCAACAGAAGAGGTACAGTAGCATATTTCACAGTCGTGTTGTGCTTAACAAATGCATCTTTTAGGTGAGAGAGTTGCAGCTTTAGCCGCATTCTCCTTGTTCTTCATGACACAGAGAAGCGGATGCAACCCACACTCCCAGAAAGTCCTCCTTTAGCCTGCCAAGAAGAGAAATAAAATAAGATGGAGATACATTTATCAAAGGGAGATTGATGGGGAAACAGGGTGTGGCTTTGGACTCTTTTCTGAGCTTCCTGTGGTGAAGGTGTCGTCAGTGAAGTCAGGCCAGGCTGGGCCAAGTCCTTCAGTGGAGATTTCTTCTCCATTTTTTCTTCTCACCCCCTTGAGTAGCACACACTTTATGCAGCTTGCATGGTGCTTACTGGTGTTGTTTGATTGCCTCCTATTCACTTTGTTGGTGAGGGAGGGATTCTCTCCCTCTGGTTACAGGAATGGCACAACACCTGCCACTGGACAGGTGAGATGGACAGTGGTTTATTAGTCACACGTTCTCCAAGCCCAAGGGATGAGGCTATCCATGCATGCAGGGCCCCACAAGGGGGGGGGTCACTTGGGACCAGAGTGAACAATTGGGGACAGTGAGAGGCAGGTTTTGTAGTATCAAGAGGGTGGGGTGTCCCCTGGTCCACGTGGAGGATGTGATTGGCCTGTTTGCATAATTCTGGGGGATAAGGAGGCACTGTGTATGGTGCCTTGATAAGGAGGGCTGCTCGGGTGGGAGACCCAATCTGTGGGAGTAGAAGGGGAGGTGAACCAGTGGTCAGGCCATTTTAAGTCTTCCCGATTTTACCAGATGTTAAGGCAGCAGATAGTATTGAGTCTTAATTTTAGGTCTTGCACCACAGGTGTGTACCTTAGACACCATGAGGTTTAAACATGCAGCTCTTCGCTTAGCATCGGGAAGATATTTGACATTAGGTAACCACATGGTTCCAGAATTTCTAGTGGGGATCTACCCAGGGGGAGCATTATTATTTGTATGTGTGTGGGGGGGGCTTTTTTTTTTTTTTGAGCAGAGTTGATTTACAATGTTGTGTTAGTTTCAGGTGTACAACAAAGTGATATATATATATATATGTGTATTCTCTATATATCCATATATATTCTGTACATAGAATATATATATCCATATCTAGTCTATGTATTCTATACATAGAATATATATATCCATATCTATATTCTATATATTCTATATATAGAAAAAATATATATCCATATATATATTCTATATATTCTATATATAGAATATACATATCCATATTTATATTCAATATATTCTATATATAGAATATATATATATTTTTTCAGATTCTTTTCCCTTATAGGTTATTATAAACTATTGAATATAGTTTCCTTGCTATACAGTAGGTCCTTGTTGGTTATCTGTTTTTTACATAATAGTGTGTATATGTTGATCCTGAGCTCCTAATTCATCCCTTCTCACAAGGGGAGCAGTAGCGACTTGAGAAGAATTCTTTTTTTTTTAACCCTGTTTGAGAACATTTGCCCTTTAATTTGCATTTAAAATCAGCTTCTTTGAATATTTTAGTTACAAATTCTGAATAGTGAAGACATAGGAGATGCTGCAGGCACTCAGTACTGGCTCCCACCCCTTCCCCCTACCCCAACCCCCAAGCCTTGCTTCTTTGCTCAAAATGCATATGGGCACCCTGCACTAAATAAATGGCTCCCCGTGTCAAGTGTCAGCAGCCTCAGGACTGGATGCAGTTGGATATGAAGTGATGAAGCCCAGTAGCTTTCATGACAGGATGTGTGCATTTAACCACGCTCCAAAGAATGCCAATGATTGTGCCCAGACCCAAAGCAGTACCTCAGAGGTGACATCGGCTGTTTCCCCACTGTGTACTGGCATCTTGGGCTGCCATCCAAGATGCCACAATCCATCCTCTCCCAGACCTGTGTTCTGTGGCGGAAGAGCTAAGGATCTGCCCCCTAAGGGCTGTGATACAGGAAGGAACAGAACTGCCTCTTCAGCCCACAGGCTTAAACCAATGGAATTTAACAGCTCAAGACAATGTGAGCCAGTCCACAGGGAGCCTCCTTCACTCCAATCTCCACCAGGCGCCATCCAGCCCTTGGTTGGGACACGCTCTGTCTCCCTGCCAAGATGTGCTAGAATCTGCTCTAGTTGAGAACAATGTGGTAGAATGGTCCCAGCAGTCTGGAAAGGTTGACACCACAACAGCTGGGCGTGCTTGTGCCAAAATGGGTCTTCCTGGTACAGAGCTATGACGGAGAGTGTGCAGGCCTGGGCTCTGCACCAGTCTCATTGATAACCTCTGACCTCAGAATCTGTCCTCCCCCTCAACACTGCCTACCCATCCCCTGCCCCTCCAGATCCCCCAGCCTGTGCTTCCTGGAAGAGGTACAAGAGGCAGCTTGAAGTCAGTGACAGCTGAGAATGATGCCATTTAAGAAGCAAAGCAGCACCTCCTGGCCTCTGGTCAATACCTCCACACGGGTGGAACCGAGTAAGGACGTGCACAGCCAGGACAGAGGCTGCTCTGAGCTTGGGAGGCACAGCACCCTCCTAGGCGTCTCTGGAGAACAGACTTTCAAGAGATAGAAACTTAATCACATGGTCCCCAGCAGTTTCCTTGTGGTATACTGGACCAGGGAGAAGCAAAATCATCTCTGTGGAAGGCTAATGGAGGAAAGGCAGGAATATTAATGAGCATTCATTAAGGCTCCCTCTCTCCCTCAAGCCTAAGGAAATCAGATATTTGAATGTAAGAGAAGGGTGCAGAGAGAGAGAGAGCCTGGCAGAAACACCAAGGAGAGAGCTGTGACTGCTGGTTACATAGTGCCCTGGTTTCCTTGCTTCAGAACAACAGCATATGCCTGTCTGTCGCCAGGCTAACCCGGGGCCCGTGAGGGGACAGGGAGAGGGCTGGTTTTCAGTTCCTGCATGGTTGATGTGTAGGGCACATGGCTTCCTCCTACAGGTCCAACAGGAGGTCTCTGGGATCCTCTACTGCTGCCTTGATTTTGCGGGGGAAAGTCACGGCCTCTCTGCCATCCATCAGCCGGTGATCATACGTCAGGGCCACGTACATTATGGGCCGCATCTCCAACTTGCCTCCCACGACCACTGGCCTATCAAAGATGGCGTGCATGCCCAGGATGGCAGGCTGAGGGGGGTTGATGATGGGCGTTCCAAAGAGCGAGCCAAAACGCCTCCGTTGCTGATGGTGAAGGTACCACCATCCATATCTTCAATGGCGAGTTCATTCTTCTGGGCCTTCTCTCCCAGTTCACTGATGGTTCGCTCAATATCGGCATAATTCCTAGTTTCCACATTCCTGATGACGGGAAACACCAGACCCCGAGGGGTGGCCACCGCAACGCTGATGTCAATATAATCCCTATACACCACCTCTTCGGTTGTATCGTCAATCGCTGCATTTACAACAGGCTGCTGCTTCAAGGCAAAGGCCGAGGCCTTCACGAATGCTGACATGAAGCCTAGTGTGAGGTTATGCTTCTTCAGAAAAGCATCTTTGTGCCGAGCCCTCATCTCCTGGGTGTTACTCATGTCAATCTCACTGAAAGTGGTAAGCACTGCTCAGGTATTCTGAGCCTCCTTTAGATGCTGAGCAATGCGCTGCTGCATCCTATTCATTTTCTCCCGATGTTCTGAACGCAGACCTGTGCCAGCTCCTGGCTCAACTACTGGAGGGGCAGCAGTGGGTTTTATGGCAGACACTGGTTTGCTAGTGAGAGGTTGTGAGGGCGAGGGCACTGGTGGCATCTGAGTGGGTATGGATGCTGCAGGGGGAGGAGGAACTGCCGATGCTGCAGGTTCTGCTTTTCGGGCTGCGGCAGCAGGAGCTTCGCCTGGCTTGGCCTTAGCAGGAGCAGTGCCAGTTTTCTTGAGTGTGAAAAGAGGAGTGCCTCCTTCTACTTTTCTCCCATCAGGTACCAAAAGAGCTTCAATCGTGCCATTTGCTGGTGATGGAACCTGCACAGATGTCTTGTCAGTTTCAATCTCACAAACCACTTTTGCAAGGTGAAGCTTTCTCCCACCTGACATCCCCTTCTGTGACAGATCCTGCAAGTACATCGTCCTGGCACACAGCTGTAGCTCTGAAAAAGCGAACACTGAAGACACTACTGCTGTAAATGACAATCTTCCTGCTGTCAGGGTAACCTGGTCCCTGACATAAGGAGATCCCAGGCAGGGAACATCTCCCTAGAGGGCAGTTCCCCTTCTGGAAGGTGGAGATCGAGCTGCTGAACGCCCAGGACAGGCAGCGGGACCGGGACAGCATCGCGGCGGCAGCAGCAGCGGTGGCGATGGCAGAGCCTTGAGAAGAATTTTTAACCTGCCTCCCCAACTTGAGGTTATAGTACAACAGTGGTTCTCATCTGGTCGTGTATGTTCGAATCACCCGTGGTGTGTTTGAACCTTCAGAAGCCTGCCTCTGTCAGCCAGTGGATAAGACCCTCCAGGGCTGAGCACACCTTCAGCTCGCCTGTAGAGCTGAGGTGGAGAATCTTCATTGTGGGGAGCCAGGATCGAAGGGGATGACAGAGCGCATAGAGACAACCAGAGAGATAATAAGAGCCTCCACCTGCTTGGGACAGAGCCTTCCTCTTTGCTGTCCTTCCTATGCCCGTGAGAGGAAACAGCAACAACAAGAAAGAAAAGGATTATAAAAAGAATTAAAATTAGGAAAAGAAACATATACAGTTTAAGATAAAGAATTTAAGAAAGACACGTCTTAATGAATAAAGGTAGAATAAGAGGAACTGAAATATAAGGGAATCAAGTTTCACAAAGATAAAAGATTAAGAATTGCACAAAATAAGAAGTATTAAAAAATTGAGTACAGAGGATATAAGATTTAAAAGTACATTTAAAACATTAAAAGAAAAATTAGAAAACAGTATGTGTTATTAAGGATAAAATTTAAAGGGATAAAATTTATCCTCTGTAACATGCAATTTAAACTATTTTTGGGCTGGCTGACATGTTTGTTTATAGGGTCTATGCTTAAATAATAACGAACATTCCCAGGAAGACCTCATATCCCATGTTTGGAACTGGAGGTTAGTTGACCCGTTGAATAATTCAATTAAAGTCCTAAATCATAAAAATGTAGAGGTCTTAAACATTTATTTTAACTTGAAATATGTAAATGTATATTTACTGCCAATTTTTTGGATGTAGGACAAAGGTCTTTTCTTTAAATAATAGCCCCATGATTAGAACTACCCACTGTCTTTCTAATGAATATACTCATTGGTCTGTCTAGAAATTCCAGTTTTGATTTCTTTAAAAATAGAGCAGAAATTTAAAGGCACTTGCAAAGTACTCTAGGTGCATAAATCTCTTTGGATTTCAGATTCCCCCCTGCCACCCGAGCTTTCTGACACTTCATTTGATGACAAGCTTTTAAGGTGACTTTTACATATATGGGTCTTTTCAAAGCACTTCATTAATTTTACATAGGGAAAAAAGTTCTTTTCTTTTCTTTTCTTTTTTCTTTTTTTTTTGGTTGCGGTACGCAGGCCTCTCACTGTTGTGGCCTCTCCGGTCGCGGAGCACAGGCTCCGGACGCTCAGGCTCAGCGGCCATGGCTCACGGGCCCAGCCGCTCCGCGGAATGTGGGATCCTCCCGGACCGGGACACGAACCCGCGTCCCCTAGCATCGGCAGACGGACTCTCAACCACTGCGCCACCAGGGGAGCCCCAGGGAAGCCCCAGGGAAAAAAGTTCTTTTCATGCTCATATTTCATTGACTTCCATGATACTTATTTAAACTGTGTAATTACAATAAGACTAACTTGGATACACCAGCATGGGAACAAACATAACCCACCCTGGTAAATGAAGACTTTGGTGCATGGTGACGCCAGACCTGCTAGTTGCCAGGGCTCACTGTGCCTTAATCAACCAGTGTGATTTAGGAGAGAGAATACAGACTACAGCAGAGGTTCTCAAAGTGGGGTTCCCAGAGCAGCAGCGGCCTCACCTGGGAACCTCTACAAATACACATTTTCAGGGTTGGCCCCCAGCTACTGAATCAGAAATCCTGAGATGGAGCCCAGCAGATTGCTTTGAGAAGCCCTCAGGCGATTCTGATGCTCCATCAAGGCTGAGAACCACTGGATTAGAACATAGGTTCTAGGTGACCCATGTGTTGCCAAGTAGAGGTCAAGACAAGAACTCCTACTGTTCTGATGCTCATGATAAACAGTCCATCTACTCTCCAACACAATCATGTTTATTTTACATTAGGAACTTGCAGTTGGTTGAAACAAAAAGAGCTTTTAAGTTTCTTGTGGTGACTGAAATGAGTAATAGAAAATGAGAAAGGAGAAAGAGAAGGCTGCCAAGACCGAGGACAGTCTTTAACTCAATCTAAGTTTTCACAAATGAATCCTCTCCTTTTCCATTCTTTCCCTGCTTGTTGAAACACTCAAATTCTACTGGTTTTATTGTGAAAGCTTCATAGAACGGTCTCTCTTTTGTTGGAGAAATTTTGTTTTGCTTCCTCAAAGGCACTGGGGGAGGACTCCATGGTGAGGAACTTTATGATAATTTTCATTAATTGAGCATGGCAAGGTCAGCACGCTGGCTCCCCTTTTGCTGACAATGGGGAAGAGGTACTCTGTGTCACAGTGAAGCAGGACTGAGATTCTCACCCTGCCGCTTGCCTGTCGAATCTGCACTTTATTAGCTGGGTGTTGGGGAGTTTTCACTTTAACCCCTGACAGGGATGGCATCATGTCAATGTGTGGATGAATCTTTTCCGAGGATGTTAGTGGATTCTGGGGGCAGGTCCAAAGTGACATTCTCGGATTCTCCCTACTTCTATTCCATCCTCTCATGTTAGCTAAATCTCAGTGACCTTTATTGTAATCAAGACTTTTAAGAATACTGTTTTTGAACATTTTTGGGTTAATCATTTAGAAATGCTAATCAGAGGGCTAAATTAAAAATGAAAACTCAAGGACAGAGAGAATATTTACCAAAACTCACATGTATTGTCTAGGTATTTCAGTGGAAGTTCATCAACATTAAAGAAGGTCCCAAATGTCAAAAGAAACTCCTTCCCAAAACTTCTGTTGATTTTTGAAATTACAAAAAATTCATAATCTTTATAGAAAGTTTAGAAAATACAGATAAAAACAGAAAATAAAATATCTTATAACCCCATTACCCAGAGACAACCACTAGCTACATACTCACATACGCATACACATATTTATCAAACTTTGATGAATACACTTCTGTAATCTACTTTTGTTCATGTAATTAATCTATATATTTTTGGGGGGATGGTAAATGTAGATCTGCTTCATTATTTTTAATATTATTTTATCAAATTAATCCCTATTCGTAGACCTAAAAGTTATTTTTAGCCTATTCCATGCAGTGACTTTTCATTATCTATATATCTTTCCAATAATAATTTCTTTAGTTTCTCTCTTACTAGACAAGTTTCCATTATTTAAAATCCTATTTTTATATACAAAAATAAGACAGACATATTTTTAATTTGAAAGTAGTTTCAGTTTATATATGTAGGTTACTGGTAACTTTGGCTTCAAGAAATTAGCTTGCTATAACAAATATAACCAGCTTATACATTTAAAACCTTCATCTTTTCTGACAAAATTCTATTTGCTGAGATTCTTTTTGTATTTTATTCTTCCAACTGCCTTCTGAATTTTTAAAGGCAACAAGATGAGAGCAGTCTGTTAATATGAGTAAAGACTGTATGCTTAAGGGGAGTCATGAAACCTGTTAGAATTAATGCTTTGCCCTGCAGAACCATCCCAGACTGTGGGGTCTGTGTTTAGGAAGATGATGTCTTTGTGTGTGTGTGTGTGTGTGTGTGTGTGTGTGTGTGTGTGTGTTGGGTGGGGTGTGTAGGAGGCCCTCAACTCTAGTCTGATGTTTTACAGTTTTCCTCACTGTATCTGTTGACCCTTACACTTTTCAATAATAATGTAATTTTTGTTAGAATAAGACGGAAGGAATAACCGCGGAGGGAGCAGAAGGGGAAGCGGAGGAAGAGGAAGCTGAGGAAGAAGAGGACGAAGGAGACTCTTAGGCCTTTTCATGCTTTATTCTTCCACTTGTCCAGGTATAGCCACATCGCTCTGGGGTTGAAGGTTTGTTTATTACAGTCTGCCACGTGGAGCACATTTCACTTGGTGATAGAAGTGGATTTCAATTCGATCTATTTGTCTGTCTTCCTGAGGCCCTGGGCTGCCCCTTCCTGGAGCCGCAGGGCTGGTGAGCTCTACCGGACCCGTTTCTTGGGCGCTAGGGCGAGGAAGGCGTGTGGTGGGTATGATTTCTGGGAAAAAGCATAACTTTGAGGTGAGGAAGAGTTTGTTTTCTCCTTGCTCCCTCCTCTGCCTCTTCAGTTAAGTGAAAGCACAGGACGTGTTGTGTTATCAGCGTTCTATCACATGGACTCCTTTACTGACCAACATACTTACGTATCCATAGGAGAGTTTACAATCGATGTTCATAACGATGGCAATAAATTGCAACCTAAAAATACCACAGAGCTGGCTGCTCATGAAAAAGGATATTGCTACTAGAGATTCAATGATAAGTGCTTGATATTACATTTATTCAATTGTATTCATTGATTTATATCAAAATATTCATTTATTCAATATTGGCCCAAACACTCATGTAGAAACACTTTGGAATATGGTGAAGTCACCTGAGGTAACTTTGACAAGTACACTTGCTGCCTTGTAATTTTTTTTCTTTTAACATCTTTACTGGAATATAATTGCTTTACAATGGTGTGTTAGTTTCTGCTTTATAACAAAGCGAATCAGCTATACATATACATATATCCCCATATCTCCTTCCTCTTGCATCTCCCTCCCACCCTCCCTGTGCCACCCCTCCAGGTGGTCATAAAGAACCAGAACCGAGCTGATCTCCCTGTGCTATGCGGCGGCTTCCCACTAGCTATCTATTTTACATTTGGTAGTATATATATGTCTATGCCACTCTCTCACTTCGTCCCAGCTTACCCTTTCCCCTCTCCATATCCTCAAGTCCATTCTCTACTAGGTCTGTGTCTTTATTCCTGTCCTGCCCCTAGGTTCTTCATAACCTTTTTTTTTTTAGATTCCATATATATCTGTTAGCATACGGTATTTGTTTTTCTCTTTCTGACTTGCTTCACTCTGTGTGACAGACTCTAGATCCATCCACCTCACTACAAATTACTCAATTTTGTTTCTTTTTATTGCTGAGTAATATTCCATTGTATATATGTGCCACATCTTCTTTATCCATTTATCAGTCGATGGGCACTTAGGTTGCATCCATGTCCTGGATATTGTAAATAGAGCTGCAATGAACATTGTGGTGCATGACTCTTTTTGAATTATGGTTTTCTCAGGGTATATGCCCAGTAGTGGGATTGCTGGGTTGTATGATAGTTCTATTTTTAGTTTTCTAAGGAACCTCCACACTGTTCTCCATAGTGCTGCCTTGTAATTTTAAACTTATACTGACCATTAAAAAAGAATTATGTACTTCTTAATAGTCTGGTGAGTGTCACATAAATATATTAATAAGATATTGATAGTGGATATTGAGATCACAGGGGAAATGCTCAAATATTGTGGGCCATACAGATAAGATGGTAGGTATGAAAACATCAAAAGATCATTAAGAGCTATAAAAATATCTGGTTTAACAGACAGTTAGCAAATACCCATGTAAATGTTATGTTTTTATTGACATTATTTGACCTTGCAACCAAGGCAGCTGTTTATTCTCTAGGGCAGTGAGGCTTATAGTTTGCTCTGGTGCCATAAGTGTTCTTGTTAATTTAAATTAAAAAAATTTTAGTCTCCTTTCTGTCCATATTATGCCTCCACTGAAACATGTAAGATAGATTTGGGGGCTTTTGATATCAGGGGAGCAGGAAGAAGAGGAGAATGAGGGGGTGAGCGCTGGACACACAGTAGGTCTTCAGTTAAGGTCTGCGGTCACACTTGGAACCTGCCTAGTGAAGGGCGGACAAAAGGCTTCTGCTGGATAAGGAAAAAGAAATCCCCAGTGCTTGTAAATATCGGCTAACAAACAGCTCTGCTCTATGTACCAAAGACCAATTTGAATATTAGAATCTCCCCTCTTAATTTACTTACACTTATACATAAAATACTATTAAAAAATGAATATATTTTTAGGAAATCTTGGAGCTGGTGGGAGTAGCCATCACATTTTATTATCGGACCACGAAAGTTTCATCACTCCTTTATTCAAATTACAAAGCAAATCCAGCCCATCATTTGATGCTTTCCCAGGTGGTTTCTTTCATGTTGTGGACACATAGACATCTATTTTAGGGCCAATGATTGTCTTTTTGGAAGTGATCCCATTATTTTTTATTTTCTTCTAAATAAAAGAAAATTAAAAATTACTATTGAGCAGTCTGTTGTCAGTTTGATTAGTGTCCCTAATCCCATTTCTAAGGAATGAATAGGGGCTCAGTTTTGGAAAAAAGGAAACTGGCGAGTTTTACTTTTAGAAATTTTATCTGAAGAATGATGGGAAAGGAAAATATGCCAATATTTATCATTATACCAACTCCCCCAACAGTAAAACACTCATAAATACTGTTTAAATTCATTTCCATTCACTCCGTTTGTAAAGTTCTTTTAAAATTATTCAATTTTAATGTAATTTTAAAAAAATATTGAATGTGAAATGACACAGCTGAGAGGGAATCCTTCATGTAGCCAGATGGCTTGATAGGCTGATTATGGAAAAAAAAAGGCATATATCGCTGTGGCCAGCCCATTTTGACTGTTTCTCTGATGGCTTCTAGTTTGGAATTAATATATTTGTCATGAGGTCAAAATGCCTGACACTGAAGGAGGGAATCAGACAGCTTCTTAAAACCCACTCTCGACTCCCGGAGAGATCTAATGTCCTTCTTGAAAATGCAACATGGCCGTGCAATCAGGCATTTCACTGGGCAGACCATTCAGTGTCTAAAGACAAACCCATCTCATAGCTCATGGATCTGCCAGGCATTTTATTTGAAAAGATGGTTCTAGGACTGTGGCAATGAATGGAACTATGAAACATTTCTCATTTCCTGTGTTTGAAATTGATGCTAAATTGATGCCCCAGGAGAAACAGTGTATAGTCTGAGACTGAGTTCTGTCTCCTAACAGGCTGCTGCTTAATACTGTCCTCTAGTCTAGCTGTGGACCATTTCAATTTCCTCCCCCAGGACTAAGTTGTAAATTCAGCCTCTCCATTTTCCATGAAAATGCGGTGGGGAAACTATTATTGAAGATGTCAACTTCCTTCTTTTTTTTTTTTTTAATGTTGAAATCCAATAAATCCAGTTTATTTCCAAAGGCTGTTATGTCTTTATTTTTACATTCTTACATTTTCTTGCCTTAAGCAATGGTATTTTATGACTATTTAATTTCAAAATTATAAGAGAAACGGCCCACAGACATTCCTACCAGTATTAGGAGACAATGTCTACATCCCTTTTACGATAATACCTGCTTAGTATTTACTTAACACTTCCCTGTTAATCATTCTCAATTCCTTTTGCATTTAAAAAATTTTAAATTTTTTATCAATTTTTATTGGAGTACAGTTGCTTTACAATGTTGTGTTAGTTTCTGCTGTACAGAAGTGAATCATTTTTTATCAATTTTTATTGGAGTACAGTTGCTTTACAATGTTGTGTTAGTTTCTGCTGTACAGCAAAGTGAATCAGCTATACGTATACATATATCCACTCTTTTTTGGATTTCCTTCCCATTTAGGTCAACCACAGATCATTGAGTAGGGTTCCCTGTGCTATACCATCATTAGTTAAGTATTTTATACATAGTAGTGTACATATGTCAATTCCAGTCTCCCAATTAGTCCCAGCCCCCGCTTCTCTCCTTGGTAACCACAAGTTTGTTCTCTACTTCTGTGGAAGATATCAACTTCCTTCTATGTTTGATAGTTTAGCACAGAGAAAGGATATAAACATCATTTGGTTTTCCATGAGAAAAATTTAATTTCCTTTCTTTGCACTTGATGAGTAGTGGTTTCTAGAATAAAAAGCAATACTGCCCTTGATTGCACGTTGAAGTGTTCAGTTTTTGATAAACATTCTCTGTCTCTCGTTAACAGCCTTCTCCCTAATATTTCCCCTTTCTTTTAGGAAACCCAAGCCACGAAGCACCATCTCAACTCTCTTCCCACAAACCAAATTCAACAAAATGCTTTGGCCCGAAGCTGGCACACGTCTGTCAGTACATCCAGGGTTCACCGAGGAATTGTATGATCCGACACGGTTAGCTCTCCATGCATATACCTGCTTAATCATATCAACATGAAATCAAATGTGAAGACAGCACATGCATACCTTCATGGGCCTGACATCTATGGCCTTTGCTTAATTTTTTTGTTTTTTTGTTTTTTTTTGCTCTGCATGAATAGACCTTCTAATACCCTGAAAAATATTTCAAAATATAGAACTTCTCTTTGTGATATGACAACAGTATTTCTTTGTATGTGCCTTATGCTACTTTTCTCAGAATTAGCTCTGAAAGTGAAGAGATTTATAGAGAATAATCATACTAATAAAGATGAATAGCAAATATCTTGTCCCAAGGAGATTTCTTCATTTCTGGTCTCTCTGTGTATAACCTGAACTCAATCCGTCTCTTGCAGAGACTGAATGCTCAGCAGAACTTTTCTGTCTCCATTGGGATGGATACTTTTTGTTGCACTGATTATTTGGTCCATGTTTTCAAATGTCACGTCTTGTTATGTTGTATTTATATTACACACCGCTGCATACACTGTCTCCGAAGCCTTGTTTAAATGTCACTGCCGTCCACATGTGTAGGGGTCATGATGCAGACAAATAAATTCGCCACCCCAGTGCCCTTTGCTCGTTTCTATGCTGGAGGGAGTGGCTGCTTCTGCTTCTCTTGCGTTGATTGATTTGCAGTCATGGCTGCTACGTGCAAAGCCCGTGACTGTAATTTTGCCTCTTGATGCTGAGTGTCTGTTCAGCAAGAGCTGGTCCGGCCCCATGACTTGTTCACCAGGTAGGTTTGAAGGGATTCTCTGCTC